TACTAAAGGCATTTATATCTTTTCTCTAAAATCTTTCTGTTTACCTCAGGTAACTTTTCTGTGTCTATGTGGCAGGACAGTTTGTATTTGTACATGGTACCTGCGAGCAGAAGATTGTCCCTCTTTGTTAGTGATTGTTTTGGCCTGGGTTTGTCACAGTTCCTTTCATTTTCTCCTGACAAAGCTGCAGCTCTGTCCTTTTTAGGATCATTTTTAACCTCTGCCCCCTCTTTCTTTCCTGTTGCCCATTCTTTCTTCAGTCTCACATTTTTATTCAGCACAGTACATTAAGTGCAGACTTACCGTGGAGAAATCACTGACTTGGCATGCTTATCACATGCATGCAGTTCTGATACTACATCAAATGTTTCTTCAATGAGCTAGTGAAGTTGAAACCCCACTTTTTCATTTCTAGTGTGCTAATAATTTGAAGGGGATTGGGCAATACTGTGGAGCCTAATGTTTGTTTATTATCCATTAAGGGCTAGAAATTGTGCCTATGTAATACTTATACTAACTCTGTGAGGTCAGTATCAATCCTATTTATAGAAAAGAAACCGAAATTCAGAATTTAAGTAACTCCCATATCACACAACTAGAATTAGCAAAATAGACATTTCTGGTATCTGACTCTAGTGAACAAGACCACATTCTCAGGGTCTTACATTAGAGAAAGACATATCGTGATATGATCAGTACAACTGTAGAGGGGGCAAGAGACACTGCTTTCTCTGTTTCATTTTAAATAACAAATTAAAAAAAATTGCTACCAAAAAACCAAATACAGTGGTTAATTTTAAATATTTAGCATTTGCTACCTTTGCATAATGCTCAGTCTTTTTCTCTGAATGTGTATGTTTTTCATATTCATATCAGTGTTTATATGTTTGAGACCAGCTTAGTTTAACCATGTTTCTATTCACAATGCTTTCAGGTTTTATTATTTTCTGATTAGCTCAGGCCTATTGGGAGCATTTCCTTTCTGAATATAATTGGTTATTGTATTTAGAGACACTTCCTGCCCTGCCAGATCTTTATTTTGAATTTCTGAAAACTCTCAACTGTGGATTTTTAAAACACGTTTTGAACTACGAATCAAAATAACATGAGTAGATTAAAAGAATTAAACAGGAGGAATTTCAAACTATACATTTTTTGAGTTTTAACTACCAATAAAAAGTCCCATTCTTTTAAGCTCTGTTTCTCCCCCTCCTATGTCCCTGTTCCTTTTTTTTATGGACTTCCTTGTTTGGGGCAGATTGCTGGGAGGATTTTCTTGATAGTATTTCCAGTCCAACTTGAAGAGAGAGGAAGTGGCAGAAAACGCCCAGTGAAATCAGCCTGACTTCATTTTTCTGGATATGGCTCCGTTACTGCCTTGTGAAATAAATGTTTCTGACAGGTACATGATAGCTGGATATTTAGTAACACATGAACAAAGCCTCCTCTCTTCACCCAGTGTCAAAGCTCTTGTTATTTTCAGTGGACCAAATTTTCAGACGTTTTTCTTGTTTATACTTACCTAAACATAATCGGGTCGTGGCTGACATACTGGTTCCATTCAGTTACTAGAAAGTATTTTCTCCTTCACAGGTAGTTATGGCAGAGTGGCCATCCAGATGCTATATTCAGATAGGGTACATATGTACTTATGTTCCCTGTCTGAGGAATAAGGAGGCAGGTACATCTCAGGGTTCAAATCAAAGAGGAATTTTTTTTTTTTTTATGCTGGGAATTTTAAGGGGAACCTCAAGCCACTTGAGAGGGGAAAAGCCAGAAAATGTATGTGAATAGAGATTAACATATATCATGAGAGTTATAATAGTAACATACGATTGATTGCTCTGTAAGCATATTTGGGATGCTAGTAGAATACCACCTTTTATGGAGAAGATTGTTTTTTTGCTAAGGCTAAAGTTCAGTCACTAGGTCCACTTACCAACTCAAGAGATACAGGATCACGATAGAGTTCATTATTAACAGGTGGCATTTTATTTTTTAATTTTTCCCCAAACAAAACAAAAACCAAAGAGAATGTGGATTATCTGCATAGCATCATCATTTCTCTCTCTCTTGGCAAGTCCTGAATATCAGAAATCTTACTAGATTAAATCTTCTGAAAGTAAATTAGTTTTCAGGGTATGTTGTAGGCAGGCACCATTCTCTAGCAATTCTAACCAGTTACCCCCTGTGACTTAATCATGTGCCTTGTGTTTCTAGAATCTTTTTCAAGTCCATTTGCAAATATAATTAAATATAATTAAAAGCTTGGATTTCTTTAAATATTGAGCCCCTGTTCCATTTTATACATGATTCTAGACAAGGAGAGCAACTGGATATTTTCATATATTGGATAACTTAGCCTTACTCACTGAATTTTAAAGTAATCACAGGATCTGTAATAGTTGTGCTTATGGGAAAATGACAGTTTTAGGTAAATATCAGTAAGAATCAAGATCAATGGAGAGAAAATACTTCTTTGTGGCACTACAGCCAGATTATTTTTATATGATCCAAAGCACAGAAGTACTTAAGAAGAATTATTTAAGTAAAGAAAACCTTTTTATCATTGCTAAGGGAAATAAAATTGTTGTTGAAAATGTAATTGCTGTGAGAAGTATATAACACAGTATGAAAAAGGTGTGATATAATAGAAGAATGGAAACAAAACTTTTCTGTAACAATTGGCATGTTTGTTAGAAGGAGGTCCAAAGGGCTGGAGAAAGGTTTCTTTAGACATAGAAGAAAAGTTCCTCATAGAAATTATTTTAGTATTGAAGTAAACACAATTAAAAATGCTGCTGATATGGTAGAATAAATTGAGCACAGCAATAAATTGACTGTGTTTGGTCAGTAGTTAAGTTTGTACATTTTTAGTTTGTCAGATTAAAGACCTATTACATATTATTCATGTATATCCTAAGTGAAAATTACATAGCAAAAAACATTTCTACAAAATCTTCATCATAAAGTGGTGGTAATTTCTGTCTCAAAGGGTAGTTCTAATGAAGAAATACAATAAAAGCAAACCAGTTACCACATGCTTTTGCCCCCGGCCCCCCGCCTTTCATACACTTAACATTTGGGGAGCAGATTGGATTGAGCCATATGCCCACATGGCACAGAGGGCTGGGTGCAGTTTGAAAAGACTCATCTCTTGTTCATCTGACTGTTTGCCTAGGTTCTAAGCAGTCTGTCGGAGATGTTTTGT